CATCGAAGCTAAAAAATTAGGAAATTAATTTGGATTTTATGCATGTTCAGTAAAGTTACTTAAGTGTGGTTTTATCAAATGTATGTAACATATGTTATAAAAAATAATATTTTCTTAGAGTAATTAATATATTAATATAATAGAATAATAATAAAAGAAAATAATATAATTTTTATGATTATTTAATAGTCTATTTATTACTCAAAAAAAATAACATTTTTCTTGATTTTATTTTTGATGTATCTATTTTAAATACATCACAACAAATATTCATTGGACCATACTCATTACCTCACTCTTTACTAAATCAATATTTCTTAAAAATTTGTCAAAAGGTCACAAAATTTCATTTGAAGAAATTTATATTCGAATTTTAAAAATTTTTCTTTATACCTGTCATGACGAGAAAATTCCCAAAAATTGACTCTTTTTAATTGAAAATTATTTTGTTTTTGAAGTTTAGATTGATATAACTCAAAAAAAAAGAAAAAGATTAATACAAATACATTATTATAAGTTATTAATGAATGTAATTTTATAATTAAGATCCTTTTAAAAAGAATCAAAGTTCCAGAAAAACTTTCAAATTTATGATGAAAGTAATATTTAGGTAAAATAACAACATGTAATATCATAGACTTGTTCGAATATGTTAAAAACTGTAAGAGGAAATATTATAAAATTCTTTTTGAATTTTTTTTCTGCAAAACGAACGGCAAATGTGTGTAAATTAAATTCATTATTATTGGTTTCGATCACGACAAATATGGAAGTATATTAACACGCCCATAAATGGAACTCTAGTTGATCTCTTGATAAAACTTGTTTTTATAACACCAAAAAACTCATTTTATTTAAGTTGTCGCAGTTATAAGTAAATTTATACTGAATGTATAAAGCATACATAGATTGTTTTATTATTTAGAATATTTATAAATATATTTATGTTTTTAAGATATGGATTTAGTACACAGAGTGTGCAGTAAGTAAGGAAACAAGTCAATTGTAACAAAACAATGAGAACAATAGAAACCTGTTTCCTTACTTACTGAACATCTATATACATAAATATTAGTATAACTTATTATTACGATATTACACTGATAAAAAAATGTTATTTAACGATGTCCGGTATTATTAAGTTTAGTTATTATATATGGTGCGAATCTGAGAACGTATTAATTTTACAATGATATGTTTTTTTTGTGTCTTATTCTCAACTTTCACTGGACTGATTATGATAAACAATACGTCAAAAGATCACACGTTGTATCTAATCGAAGACAATATCCTTAAAAATTGAAAAAAAATTTCCATCGTTACAAAAATATGAGGGAATCTCCAAAAAATTACAATTGTTAAAATTAGTAAACTTCGATATTTTTTAAAAAATTTGTAACGTCACAAATTTGAAGGTGGACCGTTTATGATTTTTTTGTTATGTCTACTTATTTATTTTATAGCGCGAAAGAACCTTTTCCTGACACAGCGGTATACACCACTTATTATTTTGCCGTTGACCACTAGATAAAGCGATAAAAGAGAAATATTATTAAAATTGAATTCTTTATCAGTATTGATGCCTTCCAAAAAGACTGGCCGTTATCGATTTGAAATTGCCGTTAGATCGGTGTTGGCTCTTCTCCATTCCTTCTTCTATCATTGACCGTGTTAGAGTGCACACATTTATTGTTTTGACATTTTTTTTCAATGATGGAGTAGAGCCACCAAAGGCGAACGGCCAGGTTTTTTCGGCGAAACATCCAGACCATCGGATGGGACTCTTCGGAGACCGGGTATCGTTTTCTTTTATATATTATATTTATGTAATGAGCTATATTTTATTTTATTTTTATTTTATCGTAAATTAACTTAATTTTGTTATGTGTGGAGAGCACG